AAAAAAAAAAAGTTGGAACAATCTCACCAAAGGAGGCTAAAAACGAGTCTCTTTTCAACAGTTTTGTTCTGAACAATCTGATAATCAAAAGAGAAATCCCGATAGTTAAACTCAAAATTATAATGACTTCTATATTGTCTCTAAAAAATCAAGATTCAAAATTATCTTAAAGATGTTCTCACAAATTTCTTTCTTCCTCACTACCAGAGAGGTGGCTCTTAAAGCCTAAAAATGGCTCTTCACAAGTTAACCAAAATGCTATTAAAAGAATAACATAGATTGGGCTATAGCACAACAAAACAAACACTTCACGTGCGTAGGAGTTATAATTGAGTCGGCTTCTATGAAGAGTAAACTCAAACCCTCAAGACGAAATATGTATACGTTTAAATTTTTTATTTTTTTATTTTTTCTAGTTATGCTGGATTTTACGAGTTATCTGATCTGAACTCAACTCGATATCTTATTATATTAATATAAATATAATTATATTTATATTAGCAAAAAAACAAAAACTATATATATATATAGATGTATATACATGGTAGGTTATGATGAGTTTTGAAATATTTAACTTAAACTCATTTCCATCTCTTTTTTTTTCACTAGATGGAATTCATACTTCAATGAAAAAAATGGTATCATATCGAATTGTATTAAAAGGATTGACATATACAATTCTAGGAGAGAATCAAGAGATACTGTCGTTAATGTTGTACTATAGTAACTTCGACACACATATATATACACAATTTTTTTATGAATTATATATACACACACATTGATATATACAAAAACATGTTGTAATATAGGTTTATTAAGAACAAAATTCAAATATCTAATTAAAAAAAAAAAGAGTTCAAAAAGATAAATAATGTCTGACTGTCATTAATATTGTCAATATTATAAAATTATTGTCTTGTGAACATAATATCAGAGAGTAAAGAAACTTAGAAAATTAAAACAGAAGAAGAAATTGTTTCTCCATGTAGGATTGTAATATGTGCATAACACACAGCATAAGATAAAAAATAATCCAATCTGATTTATTTGTTACTAAGGTTGACAGCTTCCGTGTTGATCAATTATTAATTCTACAAGTATTTAATCACACTCAATATCCTTTCAACTATAGTTTTATGACTATAAGTGTTCAGAATCAAAGTACAATAAATGACTTGTTAATTATTATGATGATCTCAGGTCTTAGGTCAGTTCAATTATCATATCTCTATATGCATCATCTATATATGTGATTTAGTTAATGAGATTAACTAATTTTTATCTTATAGAGACTATCATATATATATTAGTTTTACTGAATCATTAATGTCTTATTTTGATGATCCAACAACTAAGAACATTTTAAATTAAATCATAAAAGGTTTTATTCTAATTATTAAGATTCTCATTTTGATGTAAAACCTATAAATTTAATTAAAAACTTTATCACATATTTAATAAATATGATAATAAAATATTATTCTCATATATTAAAATAAATTTTCAGATAATAATATATTTAATATATTACATGAATAATTGGATCGTGGGCATAGCACTTATATTTCCAACAATTTCTCACTTGCCTTAGATCTAATTTGTCATGTACTTCATTCTTAACTTCTACTTATGCTTGTCAAACTCCTTTACACCAAGAGCCTTAATGAATGGGTCAGCTGCATTATCCTTTTCATCAACCTTTTGAATTTTAACATCCCCACATTCAATGATTTCTCTAATCAAATGGTATCTACGCAGAGTGTGTTTGGACTTTTGATGCAATTTCAACTCATTTGCTTGAGCGATTATTCTAATATTGTCACACAATAATGAAACTAGACATTCTATTAAAGGAACCACACCAAGTTCAGTTAAGAACTTCTTCATCTAAACAGTTTCCTTAGCAGCTTCACTTGCCACTATATATTCTACTTCAGTCACTGAATCAACTACCATACCTTATTTGAAACTTTTCTAACTCATTGTACCACCATTTAAAGTGAACACATAACTAGATATAAATTTGCTATCATCTTTATTTGAAGCAAAACTTGCATCGGTATAATCTTTCGGTTTTAACTCAGATCCTCCATAGATGAAGAATTGGTCTTTAGTTCTTCTCAAGTGCTTAAGAATGGACTTTACCACTTTTCAATGTTTCTCACCAGGATTTGCCTGATATTGACTAGTCACTCCTAATGCATAAGCCACATCAGGGCGTGTACATGCCATGGTATACAAGATGGCTCTCACTATATTAGCATATGGGACTCTACCCATTTTTTTTCTCTCTTTAAAGATCTTAGGACAATTCTCTTTACTTAGAGTGATTCTAGTGCCTATCAGTAGATAGTATCTTTTAGAATTTTTCATATTAAATCTCTTTAGAATGGTGTCAATGTACATAGACTGGAAAAATCCAAACAACTTCTTAAATCTATTTCTATAAATCTTTATTCTCAATACATAAGCTGTTTCTCCCAAGTCTTTCATGGAGAACTGTTCAGATAGCCAAATCTTAGTATTTTGTAATGCTGGTATACATTCCCAATGAGTAATATATAATCTACATACAACACTAAAAAAAGAATCGTACTCCCACTAATCTTTTTGTACACACAAGGTTCTTCTTCGTATATAACAAAATTAAACTTTTTAATTGTTTTGTTAAAACGAATATTCTAACTTCGAGATGTTTGCTTTAATCCA